ATGGTTTCCCGCTGGCAGTGGAGTCTAATATCCTGAAGGAACTGATCCGACCTCCTAACTTCCTACGGACCATCACAGACACTGTCACAGGAAAATCTACAGGGTAATACAAAATTAACTACAGAGTATAGATAAGCTTAGTGCACAGATCATTCAGAATTTATCCCAGTAAATGCTATACCTATTATTTTCAAATTTAAAAATGAAACAAGGGTGACCTTATCAAGTGTTAGATTAAGAGGACTTCTTAATTAGATCACCTGCATAATGGTTTGCTTCTTTTCCATTTGAAAAAGAGCTAATTTTATAATATACAGTATTTCATAATACATAATTCACCTTAGCTAGAGGCTCAAGTGAGCTTTTCAGATCAATGCTTCTTCAGCATTTGTCTTTAAATCTGCTATGTTCAAAGCTCAAAGCATAGTCTAAGGGACTAGCTTGTGGCCGTTTTTACAAAGATTTTAAAATGTATGTTGTAAATTCAAATTCTTGGAAGTAATGGACTTAAAAATGCAGATGATTTCAACATTTATCTACATTTATATTGCACATTTTTATTTGTCAGAAAGAGACACTGAAACACTGGCTTTAATAAAAAAAATGTCCCCATGGACGGCCTCTCTCTCTTGCTCTTTTCTGTATTTGAATAATTGTTTCAACAAGTCATAATTACATACAGGTATATATATTTGTATACATTTGATCTTGACAGGGTCAGTGCTAACTCTGCCCACTGGTCAGTTGTCCATTTGTACCCTGGAGAATAACAGGTGTCAAATACATAATTCACACAAACAATGAAGCCTATTTTGATGTGATTGAGGAAATCGATGCAATCATTGATAAACAAGGAAACACAGTCATTGCAGAGGTGAAACACAGGCTTTAATATGTCCCCATGGAGCTCTTTTCTGTATTTGAATAATGACAACTACATACGAGTATATATATTACTTGTGAGGTGTCTGCATTTATTTAGATAAACACCCAGTCATACACAAAAATGGTAGGATGGTGCAGGAAATTGATGATATTCAAGGAAAAACATTGTGTATAGCATAACAACAGAGTTTTATTCTTTGAATTGGTAAAGATATATACCTAGTCATTCATATATGGTAGAGTGGTAAATGTATGTGATATTTGAACATTGTGAAATTGTCAACATTTGATATGAAATATATATATAATATTGTCAACATTTTTAAAATCATAAAAAATGATATCCTTTTAGTGTTAAGACAACATAATCTGCATATATTTACAGATAGACTGTTTGATTAAGTTAAGTGGGATGCCAGATTTGACCTTGTCCTTTGTGAACCCCCGACTTCTAGATGACATCAGCTTTCATCCTTGTGTTCGGTATAAAAGATGGGAGGTATGGTGAAAATTTATGTCACAATGAATTTTTCTAGGAATTTTTTATATTCTATAGTAATTATAATTTTTAAACATAGAAATACTTCAGTTTATTTCCAATTTGTGATTTTCAGAGTGAAAAAGTTTTGTCATTTGTTCCCCCTGATGGCAATGTTAGATTAATATCATATCACATAGGATCAAATAAGTAAGTATGATACTATCTAAGAAAAATGCTATAGATTGAACAATGAAATGCAGGTTATGAAGTTTGGCTGATGACCCACAACATATTATTACATCTCATTGCTTTATTCTGACTTTTCTGACAGTATGGTTGGTGTACCCTTGTATATAAGACATAACATTCAGTACAGGGAAGGGAGTGGAGGGAGGTTTGAAGTCACAATTGGACCAAAACAAACCATGGGAAAAGTGGTAAGACAAACTTAACTGCTCGACATAACACACACACTCCTTCCCCAATCTAATGGAATGAAATCACCGCCATTGTGTATGTGATGTACAGGTGTAAATTGATTTTTAATAACAACCTTAAACTACATTGATTGAACCCAATAATAATATTAAAATGGCTAATTCCAAAGGCATCATACTTTTTCTTTGTCTACATACATATCTTACATACCGGTACATGTACATGTCTTTGTCTTGAGGAATGCAGCAGTCAAAAGTCAATGGACTGTAACTGCTTTGTAATATCACTTCTAAAAAAGCATTGTTGGTAAAATGATCAGGTAATAATGAAAAGTAAATATACCTGTGTGTACTTTAACATTTGTATTACTTTGGTTGTAGGTAGAAAACATATCAATGGAGGTACCTTTCCCTAAGTCAGTCCTAAATCTCACCCTGACACCCTCTCAAGGGAAGTACACCTTTGATCCTGTAGGTAAAATGCTTACCTGGGATGTAGGTAGAATGGACCCAACCAAACTCCCAAGTATAAAAGGCAATGTAAGTAACCTTCAAATTCCAATCTCTGACCAGAGTTATTTTTCCTTGTCATTTGTAAACACATCTTCGAAAAGGTATACCACTTTTACAAGTGGCACTTTGATTACAAGGGTAATTTGTGACAATTTTTTATGTGACATAAACATTCTTAATTATTACAGATAAGTTTGCAGAGTGGTCATCCCATACCAGAGTCAAACCCTACAATAAATGTAAGCCTCCTATTTCCATAATATGTGTAAAATTGTAAATGGTGCCTTTTTAAATGAACGTACATGTTCCTCATTTTGCATTATGTTGAGCAATGATCTTTTTAAACACATGTAATTATGTATTTTGCTTGGTTCTGGCCTAATGTCTCCTTATTGCTGCAGATAAATTTCACCATTAGTCAGATGGCTATATCTGGGATCAAGGTCAACAGGCTGGACATGTATGGAGAGGTAGGTCAAGCTGTGGAATCTATAAATACTCACTTCTTAAAATATTTCACTTTGCATTTTCTTTTAATACATTTGTTTATTACACATACTCCTTGATAACAAAAAAGCTTGGGGACCTTTTCTGTCTGTCTTGTTTATACTTAAACTTTGTATAAATGAAGAAAAAGTGGAAGCTTTTCTTTACAAAAAATCACTTACTACATGTACTTGAGGTTTTGTTTTCTTAATACCCTTTTCTATTTATGCAAGATACTAGCAGGAAAAGTGTATATTAAGATTTTTAATAGTGAACCATAAGATTGGAAATTCATAGTTTTTCCAAAGTAATTTGTGCCATTACCTTTATCCAAGGTCATTTGAACAAGTTCGGGATCATTTATAATTCATGTCCTGGACATATCTTGTAAGAGAAACTCTACTTATAACATGAGGATAAGTCATGATCTTTATCCAAGGTCATTTTGCCAAAGTCAAGGTCACTTACAGAAAAGTTTATCATGTATGCCTGATCCTATAACTTTGTTAAAGAAACATTGGAAGCTCATAGAGAGAAAATGATTGCTTGTTACTTTAAGGTGTGATGTGACTTTGACTTGAATTTGTTTGTGCTATGACCTTGACTTGAGAAAGTTCAGGGTCAGTAACCAAAAAGGGTTAACATTTTATCTGGCTTAAAGCTTTCAATGAGAGAAAGTTTGATTTCAGAAAATAAATTACAACAGAGTTAATTTTTTTTAAAGTTTACTATCAGTATCTTTAGTTTAGATTGTAGTACATGTATACTTAGATTAGGGTTTGCTTGTTTTAATTTTAAAATCACTAAATTAATTTTATTGAATACATGTATAACCAAATTATGACTGCAATGTGTATACTAGTACATGTAATAGTATGTGGCGGTCAGCCGGATTCGATCGCCGGTGGCCAGATAGCTCAGTTGGTAGAGCACCTGACCATAGTTTCAGGGGGCCCGGGTTCGAATCCCGGTCTGGTCCGCTGCATTTTCTCCTCTCCCGTTACATTTGGTGCTGTGCCATGTCCTGGAATTGACAGGTGAAAGACCTGCTAGGGATGAGCCTGGGTTGGGGTCTTTTGAGGACCAAAGACCTTTAAGGAGGGAAGAATGTGGTGGTCAGCCGGGCTTGATCACTGGTGGCCAGATAGCTCAGTTGGTAGAGCACCTGACCGGAGTTTCAGGGGGCCCGGGTTGGAATCCCGGTCTGGTCCTCAGCATTTTCTCCTCTCCCGTTACAAGTAATTATGTTTTCTTGTTTACCTTTAATTTGTAATTATACATAGGGGTTATTCTATCATATTCTCATTTTCAATATTTGTAGAAATACAAACCATTTAAAGGAGTCAAATACATCACACGAGCTGGAAAGTTTCAGTTCAGGACATAGCCATGACATATGTCGGTGATAGGACTTGGGAGAACAAATTTTTAATTGAAGGAAGTGACAAAAAGGAGTCGATGATATGATTATTTATACTGGTACTCACCTGCTGTTGTGCAATTTATGTTCACACCATAATAATAATTTCATCAGGAAAAATTCAGCAATGGATATAATACATGTATTGGATTACAGAAATGAATTCTTGTGCATTAGTCTTTTTAGCTCACCAGAGTTGAAAGCTCAAGTGAGCTTTTTATTATTATCATAATTGTTGTTTATATATATTTAAATTGACATTTATAATACACTGTATATGGAAGATTACCAAAGTTTATGTTCAAAATATGGCTAACTGAATTATGAATTGTTATTGCATAGAAGATAAAAGGAGCAAGTGCTAAATTTTAGACATTAAAATAATCTTATATTTATCAATTTGACTTAATTATTTTACATTGATTGTCTATTAAGGTGTAATATACTGTAAATGTATTTTATTTGGCTGAAATTAAATTTTCAACAAGTTAGCATAGATTTGATGGTTTTAATAGCAATTGCTTTTTTATCCCCTCACAACAGAGTTGGAGGAGATAAAATAATAACACAACTTTCTGCAACAGCCAAATACATGTATAATATGTTACAGTATGTTTACATGTGCACATTTATTAGTATTTCTTATTGACAACATTTTTATCGATTTTGTCATGAAAAGTAATGTTGGAAAAAAAAAACTTTGATACTTGGGAAACCTTTCATAAATATGTACCCGGTACATCTTCAATCTATGGATCAAGTTCTACAATTTACAGTGTATATTGAATTTATTTTATTTTATTTGGCAAAGATTTTGGCACATAGAAATACATGTATTAGAACTAAAAATTGCAAATGTACAGTTGGTTTGTAATCAGTTTCTATTATACCTTTTCACATACATGTACAATTCTTCACAAACTGAATATTGACAGGAAAATGATCAAATTGATTCACATTTACAATGTAGGTCAACTTGACGTTTCATACTTGCTTACAACAGTGATTTCACTAGCAATAATATGTGAATGCTATACTTCATTGCCCCCAAACATTTACCATGATTTCACTGATGAAAAATATTATGATATGTTAACTTTTAAATTGAATGATGTTATTTTGAGAGGCAATATGACTTAAAATTAAATGAGATTCAGAATCCCCTTTCCTCCCAATCTCCCATCCATCCAGTTTATATCACAGCCTCACAATTTGTATCATGTAATCAGTGTAACTAAAATCAGAAATCTGGCACCCAGCCACATCCTGTACAGAGTTTATTGTTGCTATGGTGATTGTCCTGTTGCCGTGGACACACTTCCTGTTGGTGTAGGACTTGAGAAGGTAAATTGGTGTGGGTGGCATCACAGAAGGGTGGGTCCTTGGTGTACTTACAGGCACAGATCTGAAAAAGTCTCTGCTCTTTAGACACTGTCCACTTCAGTGGCTTTATCCCTGTGCCTTTGTGAGATCCTAAATAAAGAAAATGCTTGATTCTATCTAGGAGTATCACACATTATTTGTACTTGTTAAAATGATACAGTGTATAATACAGTGAGCTTCATAAATATTCAGTGTAACAGGGAAAGAGTAAATGTGTGGATGGACCAGGAATCAAACATGGGACCCCTGCATCACCACTCGGCACACCTCAGCTGATTCATACTTGAAGGCCACAGAAACAGCCAAGGTTTGCCGAATGCTACATCACTAGTCAGTTGTTCTACCAACTGAGCTACCCAGACTGATCTCCACAGCCCAAACCATTACAGCACCAAAAATAATTACCATCACACCATGGCTGATTTTTACTCAGTCCACAAGCACACCAAAGTTTGACATCGCCTTTCTTGACGCCCGAGACTGTGCAAGGACCATACTGAAAATTGGAACAAAGAAGAAAAACTGATATATTCAATGATTCAAGATGTCAAGGGCCAAAATAAATATAGAAGAAAAGTGGGTGGGGCTTAGCAAAATAAAGTTTAACTGTATTTAACTTTGATAAATGATCGTAGCAAACTCAAACATGTATAGAACATTTACATAGTAGCAGGGACAATGCCGCTGAATGGTCACATAATTTTTTACATTTTTAGCTTTATTATAAGGAGAGCAAATAGATTTTATTGACCTAATTTGCATGAAACATAAAGAAGGCCCATGCAGATGAATTAATTCAATTTGAAAATTTCTTTTTAAATTAAAAAATCAGTATTTTCATTTTTTTTTTCAATTGCCTTCACATTAAAATAAAAGAACACACGTTCATTAAGAGGACCTTAATATGGACCACATTTATTTCATGTGGGTCAAAAAGACCCCCTGTGAAAGATGAACAGGTGCGAACAGTCTCCGACCTCTTAACTGTTTGACACTTTAGTTAACGTCTCAGCCAATATTTGATCTACACACATAGCATTGATCATATAAGTCAAATTACCATTGCAACAGCGGGCAAGTGTCTATTGTCAGTTTCCGCACCTGTCTTGTTTGTCATTTGCAATTCCGGATGTTGTCAAGAAACATGTGCTACTTCCGGTTTGAAAATTGAAAATGGCGACAAGTGCAGGAGACTGGTGCCTGATCGAGAGTGACCCTGGCGTATTTACGGAACTTATCAAGGGATTCGGTATGATATGACGAGCGGTCCAACTTTTATTCTTATATTATCTTTAGTGAATTTTTAAATTCTTAAAGTTACTCCTAATTATTTTAAAGTATAAATCTAGATCAGAGGAAATTCGAATGCAGTATAAAAAATGCATTTGAAATGGGTATTGAGGTTTCAAGTACATAGGTGTTTGGATTGTAATGTACATGAATATGTTTGATTGTAAATGAAACAAATAAACAAATTATTTTAAATGTTTATTTAACACGGTGTCACCAAACTTAATCTTCAGCATTTTACCTTGATCAGGTCGGGGGGAAACGTAAATTCCGCTATAATAATGGTATCTCACTATTATAGTGAAATTACGCTATATTTCCTGCCTTGGATACCCTCAGTTTCATCCGATAACATGCAAGGCGTTTGAACCGCAAGTCAAAGTGGGTATTAAAATGAACAAAAATTGTCATGCTTTCAAGTTTTGAATTTTAATAAATTTTCTACCGTTGCGTTTAATAATGCGAGCACTCTTTTTTTAACGGAAGTTGCATTTTTAACATAGCAACCGATGATTGCGGGGGTATTTAAGCCTGTTTGAATCTCACTTATTGATCACAAATGTGCACAAATTAATGCTTTTTGCAATTGTCAACTCGCATTCGAAAGGGTTTATTGAATTAAACAAGAAAAAGATTATTTTTGTCTGCATGGTAACGGGTATGGAGGCTCGTTATGGTAAACGGAAAGACCCATTATCATCCGACGCTACCGCGACCGATTTTTTTTGTGCATGGTTGTGTTAGATAGTGAACATGGGAACTGAGAAAAATTATTTTTTTAATCGTTCACTATAATAATTCATTGATAACATGTAGAAAATCATAAGTAAAATATTTTTATAAACGCTTAAATTTAGAAACAAATTTAAAATGTTATTGTTGTAATGTTTCAATTTCATTGTCATTGATCATCAAGATATTTGATAATTTTTGACGATATAAAAAGAGTTTACAAAAGTACTAATATGTATAGATATAGGGAAATTATGATTTTCCGGTCGCATTATCATGACGTAGTAAATAAAGTGCATGGTTAACTCTTTGCCCCTTGCGCTGTCTGTGACGTAATAGTAGCATTACATTTGTTACTTTTGGATGACGTTATCCTTTTCCCCGCAGCGCACTTGCGATAACGTGCTGAAAAAACGTGTTTTTGAGGATGCATTAACACGGTGTATAATAAGGAACTGTTGCCGTATACATCGCCCTAATATTTGTACAATCATTTGTAAAATGAATTCAAGTATTTTGATGATGAATTAATCCTGTTTATTTTGTTTAAATAATTCTTTTATGTGGACTTTTACAGACTTGATATATTATCATAGCTTGCAAGTAATTTCTTATCAATTTTAAATCTATTTAAATCGCAAACTTCGTTCAAAATAATTGTTTGAGTTTCCATTCAGGGTGTCATTTTTTTGCTCGTGTTAAAATGACGGACATCCCCCCTTTTTTTAATTTCTTTAGTTACATGCATTACCATCATATCTAAACTTGCAGAATCTTTCAATTATAAATAAAAATAGAAATGAGGTCTAGAAGAGAAGGATAATCACTTGAGAAAATTTTTTAAATAAATTTTTTAGGACAAAAAGGATTTGTAGCTTGCAGCACATTTAACTTGATTTATCTGTTCGAGAGGTAAATTTTTTTAAATTAATGAATATTGTTGGAATATCGCTTAATTTCTATTGAACAATACAATAGCGCATTGTCGATGGAAAATATTTTAATTATTAAAATACATGTGATAAAATTTAACTGCTCGCATCTTCTTATTAATATTTTGGCCGATTTACGGATGAAATACTGCCATGGGACTCGGCATTAAAATAATCAGTCTTAAATTAGCAATATATATCTAAACCTTGCTAGCCAAGGGTTTCCGATCCAAACTCTAGTGCATGGCATGGTGGAGATGTGAAGCGTATCGGAACCCCTTGGCTATAGTGAAGATTGCAGAATCTTTACACATACAGGTACATGTGGGCTACTAAAATATAGCACTTTAACAATAAAAAACAAAACTTGGGAGATATGGGGCTGTAGGCGAATTTGCAATAAATAAAAAAGAAAAGAAAAAACATCGAAAAGAAGTTTTTCTTTGTAATGGAATTTTTACATATTTTTAAAAACAATAGAATAGTTTACAAACGAGTCCATGAACTCCTAGGACGAAGCGATCAGTACTCGACATTTTCCCGATGTTGTCCTATAAGTATTCCGATTATTTGTGGAGCAAATGAGACAGTACTCTTAAAAATGTTTCTATGAAAATGCATTAATTATAGCTTTATTTATTGAGAAATATATTAAGCATTTCCACAATTTTTCCAAGGGTTGCTATATTAGATTTCTATGACACGATGAACTTTATGAACATGCAGCGTCGATGTACACGAAAACCTGTCCGCTTCAATTAAGAAAATTACGTATTTATATCAATTTAATCAAACTTGCAGAAAAAAGTCAAATTAATAACATGGTATACAATAAAAATTAATCAATTACTAGTACTCAGGATCTATCAGGAGTTAGTGCGTAGTGGATATACAATTTTTTCACGATATACTTTTGTGATATCCCATGATATTACTATAGCATTAAAAAATACAAGTTAACGACAGAGAAAATTAATTGATTGTGTTTGTAAAAGATGTACAATTCTGACCGAAATAAATATTCATATAGATCAGACAGGAGAATAAACAGATTATCTCAATAATTTGACTGCAATCTTTTTTCCAGTAAAAATTATTTATATTCTACTTTTTATTTCCGACATTACATTATACACTTATTTAATGACTACGAGGTAAACAGTCAAACTGTTGTCCTGAGGTAGTGGGGAAGATCTGGGAAACTGTTGCCCGAGGCCTTCAGCCGAGGGACAACAGTTTGACTGTTTCACCGAGTAGTCATTGAATAAGTGTTTTATTGACAAACTATAGTTTTATTTTCAGACATTTATTGAAGAGTAAATTTCAGGAAATAAAACTGTGACCGAAGAATTTCTTAATTGAAAATTGAAATTATTATCTTCGAACAATACCGGCAAATCATTGACATCAAATGCTTTGTTTTCTTAAAAAAAAACATGGATGTAAAATTTGAGATCAGTATCATGTGTGTCGGACATCACTGACATAATATTGTTGAAGTGTAGCTGATTTTCTTTTTTATTGATCGATTATTCAATAACTTAGTAGACAAGATGCATAACCACCCCCCCCCCCCCCCCCACCAAAAAAAAAAAAAAAAAAAAAAAAAAAACAGCATTCCTGTGGTAAAATGAAATGCATATATAATTTATAATCAGTCCCTTTATTTAACAAGCTAGCTGGTGATCGAAGAAAAAAAAAATGCCGGAAATTTTGAATGTAAAAAAATAATTCCGGAAATGAAATTAATGGGGAGAATAAATTAGATCGCTGTTGGTCAAAGATGTATAACACCCCCTGCCCCCGAAAGAATGAAGTTGTAAGCGTCCAAAAGCATTGCTCATCATTTATGTATCTTCATGGTACATGTATTTACCAGCTGTACTACCCTTTGAAACAGTCACGAGTTAACTGTCCATACACAAGTGGATGCCAAAATTATTTTTTGTGTATAACATAAAAAATATATCCAGTGGAAGAATCAAACAGACCACATCGCCGTCCTCTTCTTGAAAGTTTACTTCGCCAATTAAGATTTTTCAAAACTTATTATTTCTAGAGTATGCAGTATTGACATACATGAACCTACAGAGTATATATGTTTTCTTAAACATGTGAAAACGACTTAGTGAATATTTTCAAATAATATTCTGACGATATAAACGTACTCAAGGCGGGTCAAGGAATATTCCTATTAGGGACCATATACCCACTGATAAAACTAATCAGTAGACATGTCTTTTAACTTTACCCCCGCTGCGAAGGAGAAGGGGTATACTGTTTAACTCTGTGTGTTTTTCGTCTGTCTAGCTGTGTATCTGTCCGTAACAAAGTTTTTGGTCGCAGTTTTCTCAGCAAGTACGCAGCACTCATTACAGATGCTTAATTAAAATTTTAGCACATTCGTTACTGTGGCATGCCATACGGTGGTTTCATTTTTGTTCAAATCCGATGTCAACTTCCTGTTTTTCCGTGCGTCTGTCCGCACCATGCATACATACATGTAACAAATTTTTATCGCATTTTTCTAGGCAACTATTCAGATTCTTTAAATTTTAACACAATCTTTGTTGAGACATGTCATATAATGGGATTTTTTTTGTATATGAATCTGATGTCAACTTCATATTTTTTTCCGTGCATCTGCCTGTTACTGAACATGTGCAAATTCACATCAGAGTGGGGCAATATTGGTGAGCATTGGCTCACAGACTTCTTGTTTGTTCTGCCTTTTTAAAAAAAAAAAATATCAAACAAGTATACAGTATACTTGCATAAAATTTTCCCGAATACCTTGTTTTATGTATACATGTGTACGTATTTGTTTAGAAATCAAACGAACGATCGAGTAAGTTTTTTTTAACAATATCGGAAACGTTGACTTGATAATGAAATAATTCGAATTTAAATTAACCTCTTTTTCAACATGATATTGTCGTTCCTTTATTCTGTTCCTTTTTATTTGTGTATGTGTATTTTTTTTATTGCTGTGTAACATGTGTAAGGTGGGAAAATAATCAGGTTTACGAATTTGAATTCAAATAGAACAAGAAATAAGACAACATGAGACTACATGTAGCATAAGATTACATGTAAACTGGAACAAGCTATATTCTATGAACAAAACTGCTTTTCTCTACGGTTGTATGAGTATGTATAAACTTAACAATTCTTTTGTAATTTTATACATTCCTTGTGTCGATTTCTGCACAGGTTTTTATCAAAAACTTACATAAAAAAATCATTCGCCGAATTCGATAAATTCTGAATCAAGGGTTCCATCTCACACAAGATT